AAAGCACACTGCAATATAACAAGACTGTAAGGACAGTTAGGGAACAAATGAACCAGTCACCCATGTCTCCAATTGTGCAAAGTGGTGAAACATCACTTGAAAAAGTGACTAAAGCCACAGGAATGAAAAAGCTGAATATGGTGATCTGAGAAGCTCTGGTTAGTGCAGGTCATGAAAAGTGTTTTCAATGAACTGCTTTAACCAGGAAAGGGCTGTAGGCGAGGAAAAGCTTTGCTCTGTGCACTTCATGAGCTGAGAAAACAAATAGATGTGAGGGAAAGGAATGAGGTGGTGACTAAACAGGGAGAATATTGTATTGCTTGTTACAATGAGTGGCATGGCCTCATAATGCACACAGTCTGAGGTGCTGGCCACCACACCTTGTAGAGGGAGCTCAGATGAATTACTCTGGTAAGATGAAGGAAAGGGAGCACCATGGTCATGAGAGAGTTTTTGGTTTTCTTTTCAGTGCAGACAAAGAAAAGGAGACTCAGTAAAATGAAATCGTGAGGAATTAAAGACCAATAGGAAGGTGGATGCTTTCATGAGGCATAAGCCTGGTGGGTCACAAATACATACCCCCACCCCTCAGACTTGCCCAATGAGCATGGGATAAAGCAAATCAGAAGCTGAACTGAGCACACGTTGTTTGCTCATATTTTGTATTCATTAATTCACTCATTCATTCATGAGCTGCCTTAAGGTATTGCTAGAGTTAAATCCTGAAAAGGGTACACAAACAAACCCAGCATGCAAAGCACTTCCTCAAAGGGCTGTGCAGCAAGCCAGCCCCCAGGGAATGCTGAGAGGAATGCAGCAATCAAGGCATAATTCACTCTGTTAGTAACTTTTTTGCCTCTATCTCCTGAAGAGTTTATTTTGGCAACTGTGGAGCGTGAAGAAAAAAACGAATGTTCCAGTTGTAAGTATTGCATATCTTTCCTGATCTGGAGAGAGCCGCCTGGATAGGATAGGACAGGGTCGTTTCCTGAGAGCAATGGATGGAGTTCAGAGATGGAAGGACAATACTTTCTTGCTAAAACCATGGAAAAACGTTTTTGGATGCCTGGTTTAGCTTGACAGCAGATAGAAAATTGCAGACTGGTATTTGTAAGTGAAATTAATCCTGGTGGAAGATTTGGGTAAAGCTTGACAGTGAATGTGGACTTATATTCAGTTCCAGAAAGGACAGAGTTGTTTTTGCAGTGTAATAACTTACACATGTCAGAAATGTCTCTGTAAGATCCTTTGGGAGACAAGGCACAGATGTGGTTTTTTTGCAAGGCAGCAAGGTAAGGCTGTTGTGAGTTGGGTGATGGTTGACAACAACTGTCTACTCATCTACCTATCAGGCGGGAAAACCTGCAGAACCTGGTACAGCTTCCACCATCCTTTGGTGCTCATAGGGGACAAATATCAAGCTCAAAGAGAAGTGCAACACCAAAATAATCCTCCTCTTGACACTCTCTATTGACGTGCAAAGAATGAGCATCTTACAAAGGTCTTTTGAAGAGCTAATCCAGACTAACAGTTACTTATAGCATTTTATTGCAAAAGCTTGTGGGAGTGTTGTGTAAGCAGCATTATCTGTTCTTCTGTTTTTGTGTCCCTTTATGTGGCAAAGGAGTTGGGAGGGTGTTGCTGTATCAGCCTCCCTTGCTTGGGCCACAGTAGCAAAGATGACATAGCAAGAAGCATCTAACAGCCCTGTAGATATCCTCAGTATATTTGTGTCCCTTGAGCAGCAGGAGAGGCCAGACTATGCTTTGGTGCAGGAATCAAACTATGAGCAAAGCCTGGATTGTTTCTCCACCTGGATATGCACCTCCATACAGCAGCTACAGGACCTGAATGTCTGCAAACATGTGTGCTCCTGCTCTACAACAGCAGATAAACTTATATTTTCCAGTCATGTGAGTGGGAGGTACCACTGAGGTCTTTGATGTTAAACCTCAACAGAGGAGTAAAAGGTGGTAGACAGTACAACACTCTGGTGGCCAGTCTGTCCGTGCTATAAGTGGTTGCACACTAGAACATTTGCTTCCCAAAGCTTGTCTTGAACCTGAACATGAGCTGGAGTCTGTGCGATGAAGACAACTAGTGAGCTTGGTCTTGAATGGGCTTCAGCCTGTGCTTGCTAATAGCTGAAACATAAATGTAGGATTTGACAGAAGATACAGTGAAACTAATGAAAATATTGGTACCGCTGCTACTTCGTCTTACATCAAACTCTGCCATTCTGAGACCAAGGTCAGAAGTTGAAATTCATCAGAGCTACTAAATATCCCATGATAGTTAAAGACATTGTTTTACCTTCAGCTTTGGTCCATGTGGTCATCTTGTTGGTTTAACTGTCTCAAGCCCTCTTGTTCACATTGCCTTTGAACCCTTGGTCTTATAAGGCACATCATCTATAAACAAGGAATCGATAATCTCTGCAGGCCAAATCCTTTTGGCCAAATCCTTTCAGCCAAACCTGAATAGCTGTTAAGTTACAGTCCTCTATTACAGATGATCAGAAAATTTGTCCCCTTAGAAGAGATTTTGGCTGAGCTCATAAGTAATTTTAATCCTCACGACTGTAGAATAATCTTTTGTTTTGGCAGCTGCAGTGTCCAGCCTTGTTAATTTATTTCTCTGTGAGCTCTGAAGAGGTTGGATTAAGCTCCAAGAAGTGGTGACCATAGCAAACATGATAGAAGAGTAAATTTTTCCTGTCTCTCCGAGGCTGAGTGCTGCATGGTTTTGGTGCTGCAGAAAGACCTCCTGCCTCCCAATAAATGTTCAGGGAATAAACCTTTCCTATCTTTTGTCCACACAGCATCTGAGGATGGATGGAGGTCTCCCATAGGGTCAAACCTACTTGAATTTATTTTAGTCGTGCAAGTTTCTAACTGATTTCAGAGGGTCGTGGTAGGATGAATAGTACAGACACACAGCAGAGGAATAGGTTACAAGAGGAGTATAAAACACAAGAGTTTTGGTGGGTTTGTTCTGTTTATCTTTCTATGAAACATCTGTTTCTTTTCAACAGTAGTAACGGGCTAGATGTTGCCTTGATCTGTTATTGCAATTCCTATTTGTATTATTGTAAGGGCTGACTGTTAATGGCAATGCCTCTCCTGATCACTGTACAAATTGTTGCTGTCTGGCACTGACACAAGCAGCAAAACTGTTCTCATTTGACTGACAGATCTATTTGATCTCCATAGTTCACAAAGTGGCTCTGAAAGCTGCCGTGTCCTGGGAATGCCTGGGTGTTTGAATTTATGAGGCTGCCTTGAGTAAAGGTCTAGAAATGCTGCTGTTGAGGAGAAATTATTATTGCTACTACATGTGTTTTGTGTTCCTAGGCTTTTTTTTCAACAAGAAAAATTCTGCAAGCCTCTCCTTATAATTTCATTTTCCAGTGGCTATGTTATTTTGATAGGAACTTTTAATTTTTCTTTTCTTGACAACATCATGGCATAAGCAAAAACTTTGGTTGAGAGTCATGAGGAACACTGACATTATTCCAGCAGTGGACAGTGAATGGTTAAATATACTTGATTGGCTTGTATGATTTATATCAGAATAACATGTTAACTGCCAAATAACTAATACTCCCTGGACTACTACAATTGCACACAAAAGCTATGAGAATGCCTCTGATAAACTTTATCTTGGTCAGCGTTTATGCAAAGAAAACCACTTCAGATGAATTAATGCAAATTTCCTCCTTCTTTGATTAAATTGCTACATTCACTGTCAATTATGTCCCTGAGAATTCTGAACAATTTTTGTTCCTGTGAAAAGGTTTTTCCTCTGTACACTCCGTGCACTTCCTATTATTCCATGTCCAGAGAATTTCTTTCCAGTGTCTGGGCTCACTCTGAACATATCTCTGGCCCATGCCGAAAACTGATCGTAGTAAATACTCAGATTGTTTCAGCTGTGGCTCTGTGTGTGTATTTATCCTGAGCTTGGCTGAACGTTAATACAGATGAAATGGGGATGGTTTGTTTTTCTGTGACTGCATCCGTTCCATGGATACTTCCATGTCTCATAGATTTTACTCTGGTTGAGTATTTTCTTGAAGTAAGGACTGATGAATGTGCTTTTTTTAGAAGAATCTGCCGAAATAATAGATCACTGAACACACCCACGTATGAAATAAAACCTGTGTTGTAAATAGCACCTGTGATTATCAGAAACAAAAACATTTTACAAATGTAATTAATTTGTTGCTATTTAATGCTGTCATAATAATATATGTTTCTATTCCTGATTTTTGCTGATTATAGTGAACACCACAATATTTTGGCTTTGTACAGTACAAGGAAATAGTAAAACGGAAAGCTGTACAGTTTCTAAAAGCTGTCATGAAAATACTTCCATTAGTGGGTGGCCAAGTAAAAAGATATTTAGTAAACATGAAAACAGGCATATAAGGGCATGCCTGCATGGATGGATGCAAACAGATGTGAGCTTGTGTCTTGCTCTCCAAGTTAACTGGGCACAATCCAGCTTCATCCAGAAGCCATGAAGCCACATTCATGAAGTCAAGTGGTGGGCTTAACTAATACACCCTGTCTGTTAGCCAGTGTGTTCTAATTCCCCTCAAGTAGCCAGATCGCTTATGTGAGCATGGTGCGATGCTGAAGCCAGCTCGAGTCAAGCTGGCTTGGAAGGCAGACAGAGAAGCTCACGTGTGTCTGCACCCATCTGTGTAGACATGTCTTAAGCCAGGCTGGGTGAAATGTGGAACCTCAATTAAAAATTATGTTAATTAGTTCAATAGGCCAAAATTTTGCCTGCAGTTAGCATGAATCTGTATTGGACAAGAGGAATGTTTTTCCACTTCCTTAGCAGACAAAATAATAGAGCTTGTATCTTTGAAGTCGAAGATGACAAAATTGACCTGGATTGCTTTGGTTTGAAAATGCCTTTCTTCGTGTTTTCATCTCAGGTTGGGTGCTCATCTGTTTCCCATCCCCACAGTGCCTGGACACCCTGTGGTCTTTGATGTACAACACTACAACACCCATGAGAGAAGAGAATGTGCTGTTTTTCCCATTGGGTAGGTGGGGGATGAAGGCCCAGAGACAAAAGGGAGCTTTCCCAAGTCGACGTGCTTCCTCATGCAGTGGCATCCTGAACCATCTCCTCCAAGGAGTCATTAAGTGTCTCAAGCCTCTTTCAGAACTTCCCTTTGGGTCTTTTTCAGAGAGGAAATCTGGTGCCTTTGTTTTTCTAAACTCTGTCTGTAAAAAGTCATGCACTGAGCTGGCAACAAGAGGTCAATATGGGCAGGTCTCTTTCCTCCATGGTCACTAGTAGACATGCATGACCAACATGTGGTCTTGTGACCATCTACACAGTTTCAGTGTTAGCAATTTCCTTGGCACAGGTTTGACCTGCATTAACTCACACTCTGAGCTGGTGTCCTGGCACCATCCAAGGGAACGTGTGAGCTCAGTGCTATTCCCAAAATTCATCCTCTTGGGATGAGGAGAACATGCACTCTGTCAGCCTCTCCTGTGTGCCCAGGGCAGGGAAACAGCCCCTTGCCCTGTTTTATTTGGCCTTTTAGGCACTGTATCACTTAATTTGCAAAATGTCCCTGTGGACTTCCTGGGGAAATGAAGATTGTGCTTGGCCTCACTCTCGGGTGGGATGGGATGAGGAGAGGAATGCCTTACCGTGGGAATAACATCTAAATTGCAAGCCCCTTTGGGGGTGAGTGATTTCATAATGCTGAACTGCAAGCAGTAAAGCAGGCTGAATTAGTGCAATAAAGTATTAATTAAGAAGATTGCCATAATGTAACAAAAATATTTCTGTGCTGGTTTTCCTCCATTGCTGTCAGGGAAGTTGAACTATCAAGCCTTGTGTTCTAGTCAGGATTATGCCTTTACGCAATTGATTATGGGTGTTTGACTTGGGTAAAGCCTTTGGGCTGGCACAGCATTTGTGGCAGTATGCAAGGGGAAGAACTGTAATGTGATGTGATGTGAAGTGGCAGAGATTTGGACATCTGAGGACCATGAACTTGGCAAGTAGGGCACGGGTGTTCAACTCAGGCAGCGTGAACTGGTCGCCAGTGCTTTGCAGGTGCAGAGGGGAGGTGTGTTTTTAAGGAGCTTCTTGATTCCCAAGGTAGGCAGATGTGCTTTGAAGCAGCTGAGGTTTCTGAGCTGTTCTCATGGTTCCTCCACTTGCCTAAGGACAGAGAATGGGGCTGGGCTTCAAACGATGAGTTGAATCCTGTCTTCTTTGAAGTCATTGGCAGAAATTCCCAGTACGAGCTATGAGGTCTGTGTGTCTGAAGGAGCTGCAACAGAGCAAAGCTCCTTGTCTCCAAATGGCCAGTTTAACTGGAGAGCCTGGCACTGCTTGGTCCAGAGGGACCCTATGTGGCACAGACATTATGTCAGTCAGACTGAGGTGCAGAGTGCTTCACTGACCTCTGCCCAGGGGCCTCGTTAAAGCGCCCTGTTAGTATTTATTACAACTCATCTCTATTTCTTCTCTTTCTTGAGAGCCCGTACTTAACTGCTGTGAACAGCCTTGAGTCCTGGGATATATGGAGCCAGTTTAATGGGCTCCAGGCAGGGTTTGCAGTATTGAAAATCAGAAAAATAAAGTATTTCATAGAAACAGAGCCAATTGGATCTGGAAGCCATGGAAGATCGAGAAAACGTTATCAGCCTCTTGGTATGGGGATGTTTGTGTGTGTGTTTGCTCAGCTGTGCTTCTGATAGATGCCTCAAGCTTCTGCATATGGTACCTGACACAGCCCGAGTGGTCAGGTGCGTCAGAGGTGCTCGTGTGACTGATGGTGGTTGGCCTTGACCTTTCATATAGATAAAGTGGCCCTGAATTCTCCACCCACTCCTTTAGGCTTGTCCTGTGCTCCAGTTTGCATGATCTGGCACAAAGCCATAGGTGTTTATAGACACCAGCAGGCTGCAGCCATGCAAGAGACAGGACTGTGGCGGACCACAGCTCTGGATATATTGCACTCATCCAAACGTATGAAAACAATTGTAAAAATTCACTTTACTGTGCAGTCACTGATGATACCGAGCAAGCACACCAGATATCGAGCTTGTCCTCTGGCTATCCCCATGCCTTCTAATGTCAATAGCACAACAGGGTCCAGAAAACCAGAATCAGAGGCTGCCCAAGTTCATCTTCATTTCTCATGGCTGCCCTGACACAAGCTGCCTTGAGTCACTGCTGCCCAAAGTCTGCTCCGACTGCAGCTACGTACAGTGCTGCTCCTGAGGAGTGCCTCTGCTTCATCAGCTGGATGGGTAATCCCATATGGGTTGAAAGGCAACACCGTGGCTCCACATGTCCACTTCTTTTTAATTTGTTTCCCATTATGCAAAGTATCAGGCGTGTCTGATGCTATCGTACATTTAGACCAATATAGTAGATGCTTGCAGGACTGCAAAATCTCTGAGGCTGAGCAGTCAGTAATTTGCCCTCTTCTTATTTGGCTGTTGTTGCTCTCTGTAGTCTATTCCTCCCCCTGACAAGACAGATTTGCTGCTATCAAAGTCCTGCAGCTGACATATCATCCCTTTATTGCAGTCTATCTTCTGTAAACAATTAATGAACCCTCTTTGGGATTTGGAGTTATTGTGTTAACTTCCTAATTGCTTAGCTTTTTTTGGCTCTTTCATTGCTCGGCAAGAAAGATTTAGTGGCCAGAAGACATTAATACGCCTGCTCTCCAAGTTCCTGGGCTTTAGTTAATCACACCAGCTGAAACCTGTTGATATTGGATGATTTCTGGAACTTTATTGTGTGAGTCTTTATAGTACATTTAACAAAGGAGCAATGAGCAAGGTGGCAGACATATTTCTGTGATGGAAACTGCTTTTCCCTTTGGGACAGGATCCAAAGACCACTGAAGTGAGTGAAATTCTTTCCACCAACTCAGTGGGTGTTTGCTCTGGTCACTGATGGAAGGTATCAAAAAGACTGTCACCCAGCAGCCACTTATGGTTGGGACTGCTTTGCTCTCATTTCATCTTGATCTACTTTTGTTCAAATGATGGTCCTGGGCAAGAATTGTTGGTGAAAAGCCTGGCTTACTGAGCTGACATCTCCTCTTGGGAGTTTAAAGTACCTAATCAATGACTGCTGTGCTCATTAATTTTGCTTAAGAAAGTCTTTTCCCTGAGGAACCTCAGTATTTATGTTGCTGTTCTAGACTAACTTGTACAAAGCAAAATGATTTTAATGTATGTTTCCTCCCGATGCAATGGTGATTATGAATTACAACTTACACAAAACCAGAGCACAGCCATTAGATAGGTTTGCTGCATAAAACTACTCAAGGAATCTCAAAATCCTCTTTGACTGAGCTCAGATACGTCCACCATAACAAACTGAGACTAGCCTGTTTTGACTGTGAACATTGGCCCTCTCCTTTTATCTCCTTGGGTTGTGCCGTCAATATATCTACATGCTGAAAGGTTTCTTTGTTAAAGTGGTGAAAATTAGTTACTCATCAGACTTGGAAGGGGTCTGCTGTCCTGTGCTGGCAGGCTGCCACTCCCAGCTAGTCGAGGGCACCACGTTCTTCTGAACTCTGAGGAAAAGGGATTCCTCCCACCATTTCTCAGGCATTTCAATGTCAGCATTATATAATTCATGTATTGTTCAAACCATGTTAGCATTGTTCTTTTTCTTGATTACTCCACATTATAGAGCGATGTCAGCATATTAGTTTGTTTTCTTTCCCATTAGCTTCCAAGAGCTTAACTCAATCCTTTACATATGTCAGTGCTCTCATCTGGTCAAAGTTATGGGTCATTGTGTGAATAACTTTTATGCAGGGAAACTGAGCATCTATGCAATGCACTGAGCACTGTACAGGATGGGTTTAATGAATTTCAGGAGGGGAAGGGCTGGGAAAACACAGGTTTGGTGACAGGATTTCCCACAGCAGGGTGGTTAGAACTAGATAGTCTTTAAGGTTCCTTCCAACCAAAGCATTCTATGATTCATCTCACCTTGTTTCAGCACCAGAAAAGGTTTCTTGCCTTAAGACTCCAATGGTTGGGAATCCCTCTTCCTTCAGTGGGAAGAGACAGACCCCTCTAGAGGGAAATTTGAAATTTCAGTAGTTGTGTTTGCCTTCTGGAGAAGGCCATCTCTGTCCACTGACCACAGGGTAAGCTTAATGGGACTCTTATCATCCTCACTACCTCAGAGCAGTGTCTACCATTGCCCTTGGATGTTACTTCTGCATGGACTAGAAGTCCCTGTTATGATGGGAGGCCCAAAACTTGGACTTGGTCTGGTGCCCAATAAGGGTTAATCAGTTCTGTCACTTGGAGAACTGGAGAAAGCAGTAGTGTTGTACTTCCCCCTCTCCCCACCCCTGTGCTCAGGCCAATAATTAAAGTATTCATCTGGGATATGGAAGGCTCCCATGAGTGATTTTCCTCTGCTTGATGGGACTTGAACTTGCTTTTCCCAAAGAAGTGTCCAAAAGCAGATCTCAAAGCCTCTTCCAGGCTCTAAAACTTTTAAAGATGTTCCCATTTGTATAAAATAATTAAACTGCTACTGGAACAATCCAGGGCTCTCTCCTTCCCAGCTGAAAGCCCTGAAAACAGGGTGTAATGATTCAGGAAACGTGCCCACACAATTTGTGGCTTCTGTTTGAAGGTCTGAGATCTCAAAGCCTACCTCCATCAAGAAACCCTCTGTGGCTGGGTTACCAACCCCCACCAGGGTCTTTCCACCAAATAATAGGGTGTGTTAAGAGGAGATTTCTTCAAATGAAAGCATCATGGACAGTATGTTAGGTCCTACGGAGAAATACTTTATTCAGGGAAGTCATCTTGTTTGTGGAAACACCCAGCAGCTCTCCACAATGGATGGCACCTGTTTGAGGGGAAAGCTCAAAATAAAAGGGCTGGTGTGGTGTGTCCTCAGCTCAGGGACAACTGCTTGGCTCAGGAGTCTCACGAGGACAAAAGGAGCCCACCAGAAGGGTGAACTTTATGTGCTCCAGTTCAGTTTTAATTTTCAAGCTTGTATTCAGTGAGACGA